GTGGAGTTAATTTTTTAATACATGGTAAAAATTTTTTCCAAATTCTAATAAATGTCATTAAACTAATTTCAAATTGATTATTAGTTTTAATTGCTTCTAAATATTGTATATGTAAAGATAAATAAGTAGTATCTGCTGGTAAATATATAATAGCAATAGTATTATCACGAAAACTTCGTCCTATAAAATTTAAATTTATTATAAATAAGATAATTAATTTTTAAATTAATTAAGTATAAATAAAATAAAATTGTTATAAATAAATAAAATAATTATAAATAAAATAATTTAAAAATTACCTGGAGATGGTAAACCATTTTGTTTTGCAAAATTTCCTATAAAAGTAATTACTTTCATTACTGTTTCAAAAGATATTGTTTGATTTCCAACTTTTCCAGTTTTTGAATTAATACGTAAATTTATATCATGTTCTACAAAATGATCTCTTAAATTTTTCCATCTTGTATCTCCAAGACTATAAATTGTTTTAAAAGCATTTTTACAAATTAACTTTTCTTCAAAGCTATATTCTGTAGTAAGCTTAGACTTTTTTGAATTTTTAATTATTTCTGGTCGTTTAGTAGCAGCAATTATACCTAATAAATACATATCTTGTAAAAATTTAGAAAGATTTTTAAAATTTAAATATCTTTTTAAAGCTACAGAATATTCAACTTGAGTTTGTAAACAATTTTTTTCACAACAATTTTTTTCAAAAATTTTTTTAAAATCATTATTTTGTAATAAATTTATTTCATTTTCTAAATCTTGATTATCATCATCTTGTTTTTCAATAATATCCTTTTCTTTATAATATAATTTTTTAAATTTTAAAAGCTCTTCTTTAGTCCAAATCTCATTTTCTAAAAGATTATTTTCTGTAATTTCTAAAATTTAGATGTTTTAGATAAAGATAAATCATTATCTTCCTGAACTAAAAATTGATGTTGTAAATTTGAAAATCTGCTTGTAATTGAGTATTTTCTATATGAGTTTCTTCAAAAATATTTTTATTTAAAGAAAAAATAGACATTTTTTACAAAATAAAAATTTAAAAATTTGAATATTTTAACTAATACAACTAATAATTTGAATTATATACATATTAACCACAATACAATATGCAATATTCAAAATTTAATTGTTACTCTATTAATATATTATGTAAAATTTAAAACACACATGAATACATATTATTTTAATATTATTTAAAACAATAATAATGCAATTTATGCAGAAAAAAAATTAATCTAATTAAAAATTTACATTGTAAAAAAAAAAACTCATGCATACTTGTATTTATAATACAATCATAACAATATTAATAAGCATGTTTATTGATAAAAACCTTGTATGCATCTGCAAGTACATGCTT